GAGAATATGATGAGATATATTTATTATATTCAAGAATTTAATATACGTACACATATATATATATACACGTATATATGTATACACATATGTATATATACATATACACATATATATATATATATACAGTTATATAGTTACACAATTATACTGGTGTGCGCGCGCGCGTGTGTGGAAGTGTGTGTGGAAGTGTGTGCGTAGTTATTCTTATTATTTATACATACCTATATAATATAAAATTTTGACATCGTAATAAACACATATGAAATTATAATTCGGTATTTCTTTCTTGAATATATTATAATTGAATTTTTTAAATTACTTTACGTATCTTATCTTAGATAACATTATTTTTCCGTAATTCGACTAACGAGGAGAGTGCAAGTCCTTCGAGTTACCGCTTTAGTTGAAACTTTGCAGGTATGTAGATATCGTCATGCAGTGTAAGAAAATGTCATTGTAGTCGTAAACACTCAATAATTTTTAAGATATTTACGATTAAAGTTTTATTGCTCGTTAAATTATAGATTTATTTCCGCTAGTTTATAAGTGGAGTCGTAGGTGAACGGCAACAGTCGGGAATTTGTATGCTGAAGGACCGGGGTTCGATTCTCGTCCAATGATTGTTAATTTTTCAATTTATTTTTTATTTTGTATTCATTTTTCGCCTATGTAAACATTGTAAATAAACAATCGTAAATAAAATTTCTCAATAAAAAAAGTTATTTTTTACGCTTTCTTATTCTAGTATATATTTATTACAAAATAATCAAAATATTATGCAAGAAAAATACTTTTCTATAGCAATCTTATTTACTACAGGAAATACAAAACCTATCGCTCATGTAAGTATTAATTATTAAATTAAATATTTTATAAGAATGTTGCCTATAATTGCAACTTTGCTGTGCAGCTATAAATGTTCATGAATTAATTACAAAAACTTGGAAATTTATTAATTTTCTACCGCCGAATTGATTTCTAGCATCTAGTTTGAATAACAATTTTACCGCCTGCGATGAGCGCCATCTATGATTTTGGACCAAAAGTTCAAAAAGTAATAGGAATACAGAATCGGCAAGGAGGTCGTCGACGATCTGGTCACGTGATAGACAAGGACAGAGAGAGGAAAGAAAAGGATAGAAGTGCTCCGGTAGTGAAAAATTATTAATTGCTCCACTTCTGTAGTTAATTTATGAACTTTTATAATTTCATTGCAAAGCTGGAACTTCAGGCTACATTCTTATATAATATTCGTAAAGACTTTAACCCTAAATTGTTACTTATTAATTTTTGTTTCATGGCGTCTATGATTTCGTAACGGCGGCCATCGCGATCTTCCGTGAAGATATTTAATACTAAACAAAACTAGAAGGAAAATGTGATCAAAAGTTATATGGGAAGATTCGCAAGAACATTGTCTTTCTAATGAGTGCATAAAGTTTCATAAATTAATTGCGTAGAGGATGGTAATCAATGAAAAACCAATGGCGTCTTCGACAATCTTCGACAATAATTCAAACATTTCGTAGAATAATTATTCATAATTAATTAATTAGGGACAAATTTATATCGAAAAATATATTGGAAAGTTCTTGAAGGATCTGCCTTTACGATGCAATTATAAAAGTTCATAAATTAATCACAGATTTTGCGTAATTAGTGAATTTTCCATTGCCGATTTGATTTACTAAATATATTCGGAGCACATAACCAGAGTTAGTAAACTGACATCAGAACCATCTATGATTTTAGACTTGAAGCTCGGGTTCCGCAACTAGAACATAGACGGCTCTGTTGTCAGCTTACTAACTCTGGTTATGTGCTCCGAATATATTTTAATAAATCAAATCGGCAGTGGAAGTTTCACTAATTACTCAAAATCTGCGATTAATTTATGAACTTTTATAATTGCATCGTAAAGCCAGATCCTTCAAGAACTTTCTAATATATTTTTCGATATAAATTTGTCCCCAATTAATTAATTATTAATGATTATTCTACCCAGTGTTTGAATTGTTGTCGAAGATTGTCGAAGACGCCATTTGTTTTTCATTAATTACTATCCTTTACGCAACTAATTTATGAAACTTTATGCACTCATTATAAAGACAGTGTTCTTGCGAATCTTCTCATATAACTTTTGATCACATTTTGCTTCTAATTTCGTTTAGTATTAAATATTTTCACGGAAGATCGCGATGGCCGCCGTTACGAAATCATACACGCCATCAAACAATAATTAATAACTGACAATTTAGAGTTAAATTCATTACGAATATTATATAAGAATGTAGCCTGAAGTTCCAGCTTTGCAATGAAATTATAAAAGTTCATAAATTAATTACAGAAGTGGAGTAATTAATAATTTTTCACTGCCGGAGCGCTTCTATCCTTTTCTTTCCTCTCTCTGTCCTTGTCTGTCACGTGACCAGCTCGTCGACGACCTCCTTGCCAATTCTGTATTCCTATCACTTTTTGAACTTTTGGTCCAAAATCATAGATGGCGCTGATCGCAGGCGGTAAAATTTTTATTCGAACTAGATACCTCTTCTGGTAATGCGTTAATAGTACACCTTAATAAATCAATTCGACAGTAGAAAATTAATAAATTTCCAAGTTTCTGTAATTAATTCATGAACATTTATAGCTACACAACATAGTTGAAATTATAAATAACATTCTTATACAATATTTAATTTAATAATTAGTTAATAGTAAATAAGATTGCTGTAGAAAACTGTTTTTCTTGCATAACATTCTTATTATTTTATAATGAATATATACTTGCATAAGAAAGCGTAAAAAATAAATTTTTTTATTGATAAATTTTACTTACAATATTTTCATAGGCGATAAATGAATACAAAATAAAATATAGATTGTACAAAGAATCAACTATGAACTGGAATCGAACCCTAGGTCCTTTTACCATAGGAATTTTCGACTGCCCCCGTTAGGCTACGACTCCACTTATAAACTAGTGAAAATAAATCTATAATTAAAGAAGTAATAAAACTTTAATCCTAAATATCTCAAAAACTATTGAACAGTTGCGGCTACAATGATATATTTTCTTAAACTGTATGACGATATCTACAAACCTGCAAACTTTCAACTAAATCGGTGTCCCGAAGGACTCATCTTTGTAAGACGAAAGAAAGACAGACGAAATACCAAAATTTTATGAACACGATTAACATGGAAAAATATTTAAATCATTTATTGCCCGAAATATCGGGATCGGCGCGATTTAGCAGGAAAGAGAAAGTGTCGCAATACCGGTATTTCAACTTTATTTCAGAAAAATTGGCCAAAAAATCGGTATTCCTCAAATAATCGCGTAGTGACGTACTGAAAACCTTTTGCTATTCCGTTCGGTGTTAAATGACGCGCGACGAAGTCGAAACACGGTGAAAAAAAAGAACTTTTTCTTTCCCTCGAGATTCGTGGGCTTTGAAAATTTTTACGCATGAAATTTTTACATGTTGCGAAATTGGCGAACTTTCGTAAATTTTTGCAAATTACAATGTATTTCTAAAGTTTCGACGAAGCTCTACATTGGGGGAATTTTTCGTTATAATTTTAACAAATTTTTATCTTTAGAAATTACCATTTTACGAAATTCTGTCTTTCCAACGCTGATATTAAATATTATTATTAAACGCTGATATTTCATATTACAATAATAAATAATAATAACAATCGCTAATCTAAATCACCGAGGCCTACCGCATTAAAATCAAAAAATGAATCGTTTATTCAAGTGTCACGGCTTAAAATAATCTATACCTTACGTTTTAATATTACAAGGTTAATTTAACACTAGATTTACGGAACCCGTCAATTTGACGGAAGGATTGCTCCAATTATACGATGGTAACAGATTTAGTTAACTTATATTAAGACTGTTAATATAATATATAATTGTTTTTAAATTAAACTAATCGTTAAAAAGAAGGCACGTGGTTTCCTTTACCTGTCAATTTGACAGGTGTCCTTAGAAACAAGTATACAGACAGCGTCCGTAAATCTAGTGTTAATTACAAGACCTTATATTATTATTACCTTGCAATTACACTTGCATAATACGTATTTGCATATATTTATGGCAAACAGCTAAGCACATGTCTCTGACGAGTTAAATTTTCACGTTGAAAATTCGATGTTATTCTTGAGGAGTACACACGTAGAATTATTTTCTTCGCAATGCTTTTCTCCCTTCTCGATGAATACTAGATAGCTTTATAATTGCGAAAAACGAATTGCTTTTTGGAAACTCCTTCGAAGCTGATCTGTAAACAGAGTATAACTTAATATATATAATACCGACGATGTTTCATGCATCAAAAATATAGTAAATGAAATAAATTTACAACTACCTTAATATCTTGTTACGAGATCATTTCCAGCCGGTATTCAGCCAAGAAGAGCGGATTGTAACTTCAGTGCAGAAAAATCCAGCATCTCCCAGAATGTTTGGTTTAAATAACAATCGGCTGTTAAATCTAAAAGGAACGTCTTCCATCGAAGTTCAGAGAGTGCTGTCAACCTTTTCAGTAGGGAAAATTTATTCTCGTGTTTTAGAATTCTTCAGCAATCCATTGATCGAACCTGAAGAATAAGAATTATACTCGTGAATTGTAACAATATTTTAATTTACGTAATAGTGCATGCGCAGCTCTTAGCTTGGTATCGTCTTAGAAAGAAAAATCTTTGGAAACCGATACCAATTACCAGGTCTCACCACGTGGAGGTGGCTACGCATCGAGACCCGACATGCGCCCTAGTGGCGCAGCCTGCTGGCGCTATCCGTATCAAAGATATCTAATCTAACCTGAAGCGAATTAAGCTAAAACGACTCTAATATTTCTAAGTTCCCACAAATTGAGGAAGCAAAGAAAAACTAAGTTACAATCGCGACGCGCCCGAACGAGTTTACGATTATTCGAAAGACCAACTAGTCGACGCGACGTACTCTCATGTACAAGACAACTTCATACCTCGGCACCCTCGCTATCGGACCTAGTCCACCCAGCCACCACAGACTCTGCCATGACTTACTCGCGAACGAGGGCAATCAACGAGCCAGAAAAACACCCAAAACCAAGCCGAGGGCCCCTAGCGAGGCCTTATAACCGGTCACGCCAGCCCCTGCCACATGGGGGAGAAATTAATCATCCCATGGGGACTGACCGCAGGCCGTTATGCAGTGTCAACGGCTATAGGACCCATACCCCGGTCGTGCACGCGCTGGTGCCAAGGACGACTAAGGCCGACAGACCCTCGAATTGATTCCAGATGCCCCCCAACCCGCGACCACCCTAGAACCGATGCATGGCAAGAGTGGCAGTGGCGAGGATGAGTGTCGGACACGAGTCGCGAGGATGACTTACGAAGCATGCAATTGTCGAGTACATGAGAGCACGTCGCGTAGACTAGTCAGTACTTGCGAAAGATCGTGATTATCGCGAGAACGATTACGTTCTAGATCGGTGAACGAGAGAGATGAGAAAGAACGAATATATAATGGATACATTCGCTTCAAGTTAGGTAGCTTACCTTTGTACAGACAGCGCGCACATGTGACTTAGCCTAGCAGTCTATCTTATGACTACTTAAAGGTAGACGCACGCATCCCGCGTCGCTCATTGATGCGTC